TTTGAAAATAACTGATTTGCTTAGCTCTGACTCCATCTGTCTTTCTCATTAATTAAAGAGCACTGTACAAAACATTCAGGTGGCAGCTTCTCTCTTCTGACCATCACTTTTGCCAGTTAAAATGACCAAAATAATGGATAGCAGCACATATCAACTATCACTAATTAATGTGAATTCCGTTGCTTGAGGGTAGGACAATATTAAACTTGTATGCTGTCTGATTAGTGCTCTCTGCAAGCTGGTGTCTGTTCTCAACCAGAAATAAAATTGACCGGGACATCCCTGAGTTGAGGAATAAGCATGGCTTTATGGTGGAAACACTGACGAGTGACTGTCAGGAAGCAGAGTCTGGTAATAAAAGCAAAATAGACGAGGTTAGGTATGTCACAGCAAGAAGTACAACAGATGTCAACTTGTCTTTTTATTTTTTTTTTTATATGAGATGTCTGCCACTCCATCACTCCTACGTTTCTTCTTTCACACCTTCCTGTCAGAGACAGTAGTGTCAGCCCCACTCCCAAACCAATTAAAGTGCTTATTCTGCATCAACAAATGAGGGAGCAATATTTTCTTTGTTTTCAGATTAAAAGAATGCATTCATGTGTTAAAAATGAATAAAAATGTGTTCCCTTCTTATTGTACTAAGTAGAATATGTAAACTTCAAATAGCAGAAAAGTAATAACTGTTCACCACACCAAATTTTATTTACAAAAATGCATTTAAACTACTACTGTACTCGGGACTAATCATTTTTTCCACTGCCTATTTTTTGTTATACCACCATTAAAAAGTAAAGTATCAAAACAACAAATCGTTTTTATTTATTAAGTTTCCTATATCCTGGTAATCCAGTGCTGAGCTATCTTTTGTCATGTCTTTGACATCTGAAGGTTTGACAGATACAAATATTCAGAGTCAGGAGACATGCCTGATCTTATTCTGGAGCAGGAAAAGACAGGCAGCTACAGAGATGAAATGAAGCAGCCCTGTTGCCCCAAGGCAGCCGTGGAGCACCATTGGTGCACATGCAACTGTTGTCATCCAGGCAGGCAGTTCTCAAGCATGTAGGGCTACAACTATTTGACCCTGTGACTTGCGCTACGCTGACAACAGTTTTGTGGGGCCTCTCAACAAGGGACTGTCGGTTTCCTCCTGTGACATTTTGTTACTTTTTGGCTAGTGTAGAAAGCTGAAGTGATCTTGAATGAAGCATATAATTTCTGTAACACATGCACACTACAGAAAAACAAGGCTGAACTGTGTCTGGTGCAAGCAGCCTGTTAGAGAGACCTTGCCAAAGCAGCTGATGGACAAAGGTGTTGTTGTTTTAAGACTAACTTGTGACCTTAAAATTTGGGTTCAGTCACAAGTCAGTTGGCTGCTCATAAGAATCTTTTCAGAGATTTGTGAAGTCATCATGACTACATGTCTGTCATGCGGGTTCTTTCTTTAAAATGCATTTCGTGCAAGAAAAAAAACTTCTCTGCGATGCAACCCTAGATTACCCATTCTCGCAATATTTTCCATTATAGTGTGATTGAGGCAAAGCAGACTAGATCATGGACTGACAAACAAAAAGGCTTCATCAGTTCAATTTTGTCTATTAAGGAACCCTTCATATCAGTGAGTACATGCACTCCCTGAGATGGTATACCACCTTGAATATAATCCAGTGATGATGAAAAATAAATTAGCTGCCTGTCCTACTGAACGAAGGTTGCCTTGCTGTTAGAAACTGAACTTTTCCCCCCTGAAGATATAGAAGGCTTAGCTGTAGAGACAAAACTGGCCTGAGGCAATAAAGAAGCACCACACTGACTCAGCTCTCCCCGATGTCTGGATCCCCTGCCAACAAAGTCTATGATGCAACAGATATGGCTCCAATGAAAGGTTATGATTAAGGAGGAAATATAAAACTTCAGATAGGCTCCCATGATCTAAATTATGGATTTTTCTTTCTAACTCTTAGGTGCTGTGGATAATCTGTGAAATAGCACGCACACAAAGTACTCCTAAAGGTGGAACAGCTCAAAACATAATCTGGTTCCTGTTGTTTGAGTCAGAACTGCCACTGTTCCCTGATCTGAACTGAATGAATGTACATTAAAATAAAAGGTGTGAACGTGGAGACCTGTCAGCACTCAGCTTGACTATGAACCTACAAGCCAAATTGACAGTAAGGGGAAACTAGCTTTACCTGCTGCTACAGGGTGTACAGCGCTTTGTTCCCCACTGCTTCAGTTTGAACAAAGAAAAGACAGCCTCTAAGGCTGAATTTTGAACCCTGTTGTTGTGTTACAGAGTGTCATTAAATTCTGCTGAAGGCAATGCCAACTATTGACAGAGGATGTTATAGAAGGCAAGTCAGATTATAACAAGACAGATGGCATTGGACAAGTGGTCAAGCAGCTAGGTGGGGAAAGAAAAATCCCCCAAAGCTGTGTGCTTCTAACAATCAGTGGATTAGAGTATCTTTTTGTGACTGGTCTTCTCTGCCAATCTGTAAAGCATGTGAGGCAGTCCAATAACATAATGATTTTACTTTGGAGCTACCACACATGTTGCTGACATGTGTTGATGTCCCACACTCACACTAAATACATGATTCTTATCAAATGATTAACAATACAGTCAGTAAAACCACACATCTCCTGCTACCGTCATGAAGGTAATTTAATGGTCCTAAAGTTCTGGAGATTTTGCAGTTGATAGGGGACAAAAGTTATTTTTATTATCCTTTAATGCAATGTAAATCTAGTCCCTTATATTGCCATATTTAATGCATCAGTATCCCCATAATTTGTGAGCTAGAGGATGGGCCCCTGGAATATAGTATATTAATTTAGTCAAGGTTAAACCCCTTAATGAGGGGATAAATTAAGGAGCAATAGGGGTTACCTTTGGTCATGTAAATACCATTTAGCAATTTTTCTTCCATTGTGAGCATTTCACCTTTTTCATTGTATTAGCTGAATGTCATTTTATAGAATTCAGGGATTTTCCCTACAGACTCCTCGTCTCCTGTAGACAACACCCACCGTCTTATCATTAAATATTGATTTGGCATCATACTAAGAATGTCTAATTTGATTTTGAAGAGTTTTCTAAAAGCTCCCTTGTCCTTTTTCAGACCTGCATAATGACATGGTCAAAATCAAAGGTGTCAAATTTTGGCTGGGTTGTGGATCGTGGACATCTCTTTCAAGAGTGTTTCATGTTTGCTCAGCTTTATGTTCATGCTTCAGTAATATGAAGGCCTAAAAAAAAAAAAAAACTGGGCTTCGGAAGGTATGAAGTATATAAACATGCAGAGCCACCAGTATGGTTCCTGGCAACAGAACAGAGATGGCTGACAACATAATGCTGTTTTCTAGCCGACAGTATGGCATTCTATGCAACAGAAACTTGATTATGTGTGTCAGAAGTAAAATATTCAGTCAGCAAGCCCACAGCACAGATTTTTACCTTGTCTAATGATTTCTATTATAAGTAATAAAGAAAAGCAATCAGCTGTACAGATACTGTTGCTCATTTCTGGCTGCTGGTGGATGTAACATCACCATAAAGCCTTGTATTGAGCCAACTTAGTGCTGATCCAATATTGTGGAGCTTCTCCGGCATGGTTAATTAGTGTTGTCTTTTATGAGATTATACAAAAAAGCATTTTTTAGTATTTTTAAGGTTTTATCAAGCCTTCAGTGGATATGGGGAATCACAATTTTTTTTTTAGGAGTTTGGCCTTTTGTAACCTTCATCAGTCATGTGTGCGGCTGAAACTTTATGAGAAAACAATTGATGTACTGCAGATTGGTCTCTTTAATCACAGCTGAACAGCTTTAGCCTATTATAGCTGTTGTCTTCTCCTAATTACCCTGATCTAATAAGTGCATTTGCTTGCTATGACAGACATATATCCCAAACTATTATGACTGTCATTATCAGGCCGTAGAATTTTTCACCCAACGCGTTTCCCATTTTCGCTTAATTAGACATTGCTAAATGTTAACAGATAAAGCTTGGGCGAGCAAGTCAGTCTGCGTTGAGATTTACACCCAGGCTGAGCAGATGGCAATAAATTAAATATGAGAGAGAGACAGAGAGAGAAAATGGGCAGTGGCCTTAACAATTCCTGAATTCCTGTTTAATGTTAGCAGAAAAAGAAGCTGCCATGTTCACTTTTGTGGGCTTTTTTTGAAGTTGCCAGATTCTCTTCTAATCCACAAATGTGGAGCAGGTATTATGAGCAGTTCCACTGTTTGATATTTTGTTTGTCATTTAGTGTTGTGGTTCTTAACTTAAAAAACATAGCTATTACGCATGGCAGATTTAATATTCCATTTTATATTCAACATTTAGATGAAAAGGTTTTCACTCCAGCAGGCTTCACAATTGAGGGTCTAAGGACAGAGGGTGTTGTACGCTGTACAGATTGTAAAGCCCCTTGAGGCAAATTGTGATTTGCGATATTGGGCTATATGAATAATACTTGACATCAACCTCAGCCTGATGTTGATGCAGTGGACAGATAATTCTCATTTCACACCAAATGATTCAACTTTCTCCTGTGTTTGGTGAAGTGGAAAAAAAAAAAAATCTTGCGAGCATGTGTTGAATAGAATCGTTCAACTGTTCATTTTGAGTACACACCAATATATGAATAGTAAGCTCCTCAACATTGTTATTCACTGGAGCTTAAATAGGGCTAACATCTTTACCTCTCAGTCGACTGAATGCTAATGGCATCAACACTGGCATTTATGAGACTTCTCTTGTGGCACAAGTCTGTCTCTGTCACCCCGTACAGAAATGGAAAACTCCTCCTACATCTGTTCGCGTCACCACCAGTCGATAATGCAGCCAGCTTTTTGTGCTGCAGTATGAATTTTTTTTTTTTCTCAACTTGAAAAGTAAGTACAGAATAAGTTAATGTTGAATACATTTTCTCAAACTTGTGTTCAATTGTCTTTCTTTCCTTTTGTTTACATTTTCCCCACCACAGTAATGACTGCAGTCGACGGGGGGATTCTCAGCCAGTGAACGCCTTATTATTTGATTATTTGAGACTGCTCTTAAAAGTGTAGAGTCTTGGTGACGCTTAATTAAGTGGCTCTGATGGTGTGGAGCCATCACACGCGATTGAAGGACAGGGAAGAACTGAAAACAAATTAAGCCCTTTTGGGTAAGCACTATTGAGAAACAATGTGGTGCTCATGAATATGAAAATCAGCACTTATCGTGGTGTGTGGCAAACGTCTGACTGAAATACAGTGCATTGTTTCTAAATTATATGGTAAAAATATGGTATTTTTTCTTGTGTGAAGATTACGTGAAGAGGGTTATGGTAGCAGAAATAATTATTTTTCCTGATGTCACAGCCTGGCATATTACTATTCTTTTGAGAGTCACATGTGATGAAAGTAAGCTTAAATTTAGTACAATTTACAAAGTACATAACAATGGCAGTAACAAACTATTTGAATGAAGACATAACAGTAACTTTACAGTGTTTACTGTGTGTACAGTTACATTCATTGTCATTTCTTTTTGAGTCTTCTCTACATATTAACAACTATGGATTAGCTCTTATTGTTTAAATAGGATGCATTGATTATGATGATTCGATTGCACATATTTTCATACAGATTCACCCAGTGTTTAACTTCACAATTTTATTCAAAATGCAACCACATTAGTTTCTTTTTCAGAACAAGATTCATCACCATGGTTTTTCTATTACCACAGTAATCTAAATGCAAATTTTAACTGTCCCTTTTTCCACCAGGATGATGTTTCTGGCACAGCATGTGGACTAGAATTGAGACGTGTTTTGCCCCTTCTGTTCTACCTCTACCTAATCTCAAATGAAGACTGCTTATCACGTTGACGTATTGTAAAAGGAAAGATGTCACTAATTGAACAAAAATAAAGCCTTGTGGTTAAATTCTGACACTGTTTGTCTGCGTCTTCACAGCTAGCCAGAGTCAGATGTGTAAAACTGAAACCTTTCTAAGGAGAACGTCATTTTACATGGAGCAATCAGAAGCTGAGTGATGGTGGTACTCGTTGATGATCCAGAGGTTACTAGTTTAAAAATACAATGTTTAAATGTAATCCTTGGGAGCTATGCTGCACTAATCATTGGGACTTAAATGGAAGCTTTGCTGAGTATTTCTCACTGAGTGCGTCAGCCTGGTTACTTTCATTGCACAGGGAATGGGGAAATGTACACTATACACAGTCTACACACAGTGTAATGCCGCAGCTATCCTGGATGCACTGATATGGATTGGTTGCAGTGAAAAGCTTCATCATTCCTGCCTTCCTTCTTGCCCCTGCCATCAATTTTCCCTGCATGGATATAGTTTTGAGTGACACCTGGTGAGTTGCTTTCTCCTATCTCCGCTCTTCCTCAGCACTGTAAATTCATCCATAGCGCAGAAGCTGAACGTGCCTGTCCTCGTGTCACTTTTAACCTACGTTTTGGTGGTCTGATACCAATAATCTTCCTCTGCACGTTGCTACTTGGGCATTGCCACTCAATTGTACTCTATCATTGTGGTCAGGGACACTTGCTGTGTCCTTTTTTATCATCTCCTGTTCATTAGGGGAGTGAAGGCTGCGCAATATCTGGATCCACATCATTTGTTTCTTCACTGTCTTAAAGCTAAAAATGTTAAATCTTGTCCTGAGCCCGGCAAAAGAAAGCTGGACTCTCTATGAAGGCTTAACTTGCAACAAGAAGATAAATACAAGGTTCTCAATTGGGTAATGAAATCCTAAAAATATTTTAGCTTCCTAGTACAGATTTGAAAGGTTTAGGTTGTTTAAATGAGACAGCACATTTTATCCTTTCTACTATCTTGTCTTTTTAACGATGTGTTTTGGTTTTTTATTTCTTTTTTCAAAATTAATTCCCACTACCTCTTCCAAACCTCCCACAGTGCATGGGGTTTTGAAAAATAAAAAAATTCTTTTGTCTGTGTGAACTACCAGTGGAAACCTGTTTCATCTGTTGACTTTCCTCGAAATCTTTTTTCAAAAGTTTTTATGAAGTCAGATGGAGTTTAAACTGTCTTGCAAAAGAAGTTACACAGTATGTGACAGAAAAACATCGTTTTATGTGTCTTTTGGTACATTTAGTTATGTTTTGTTGGCCTGAAATTAAAATTGTAAATCTCTTCAAGGGTGTTTGAATAGGACCACTTTCAAGACATTTTGACATTTTCCTTTAAAACTAAAATGAGAGACAAAGATCTGAGTAATGCCAACTCTGTGGGTGCTATCGGTGTACCAAGAGACATGTGAGTGCAATTGAGGCTAATTATACATTTTACAGTTTCTGCTGACAAACTGGTAAGTGTGTGTGCTGTTGGAACGTTAAGGTGGATTTAATGGCGTGGAGGGAACAATGATCAAAATTGAGTACAGTAACAAGAACTTAAGTACTACAAGATAATACGCAATAATATGCAGGACTACTACTACCAAATAAAAGTACAAGTGAACATACACACATTTTTAATCAAACAAAAATATTTTAGAGCCACCAGACCATGGGGGCATGAGCGACAGTGACTTGAGGGTATGTGTGAGTTTAATTGTCTTGAAACACAATTTGTAATGATGGTACCACAGAAATAGTAACCCACTTTAAGGTGAACTGGCAGTTGCCTTTAGCCAAAGCTCAATGAATTCCAGATTATTTAGAAGAGAAAAAAGAACAGCGTCTTGTCTTAGTTGTTACTGTGCTCTTGAATGTGCACATCAATATTATTTTAATTATTAGAATTAATAATAAAAGTGAATTGTCTGGCATTACTGTTCTGATACTCATGATGAGCTTTTGTTTAAAAAAGAGAAATGGGTTTATACAAACATTTTTAATCACTGCTGATGATAATTATGTTTGAGAACATATCTGCTGTCATCCAATAAGCATTTAGAATAAATAATGAGAAAACTTTGACTCAGAGAAAGGTCTGCTTAATTATTTAATGCCTCAAATGGATTCAATAGTCTACATCAAATGGATGAACATCAAAAGGAGGATAAGGAGATCGCAATTATTCCACCACAGAACTTCCCATCCACTCCAAATTAAACTAAATAACCAAATCTGCTAAATTTTGAAAACACTTTTTAGACTTTTCCCCTCATTTTCTGTCATCATTTTCTATCTGTTCATCTTCATCATCATTTTTTAAATGTTGCATTTCAGTATTTATACAAAAAAAAAAAGAGTCTGCAAAAGTATTCATTATGGTCACTTGATAGGCACACGGTCTTGTTATATCACCATTAGCAGTAAAAAGAAATGCATGTTTTCCACCAGGGCAGTAAAATGTGAAGTTTAGCTGCTGATCTGAGCTTCCCTGCTGTTAGCATTTTTATTGCCTATAATATTCATCATCTGTTTGTCTCAGGAAGGTAAGGGCACATTTCTGTCCACATAACAGAGCGTTGGAGAATAACTACATGAAATTACAATCCAACTACTTATTTTTTTTCTACCAGCGCAGTAAAGGTTTAGCTGGCTGGCTAGCTTAGTGATCAGGTGATTGTCTCAGGAAGGTAACAAAACCAAAACAGAGCGCTGGAGAGAGAGATTAACTACATAAAACTAATCCAACAACATATTTTTTCTACCGGCGCAGTAATGTAAATGTTCCGTATTTGTATAGCGCCTTTCTCGTAAGTAAAGGTTTAGCTGTCTGATTTGAGCTTCCAGCTTTAAGCTACCGTTTAGCTGGCTGATGCTTCCATGCTCTAAACTAACGTTATGGTTTTATTGCCAATTAATGTTACTGATCAGCTGATTGTCTCGCCAAAGTAACTGGCAAAGCCAACCCACAATCTAGAGAATACTTAGGCGACATGAAATTAATGCAACTACTTATTTCACACCACTGACGGGGGAAACACCTCACGTCTCTCGGTTATTAAGGCCAGCTTCAAGCTAAAGCTATCTAACGGCTTTCATTTGCATCGCTAAAGTCTGACAAACTTAATTAACTGTCCAGCAGAAAACAGACAACTTCAGCACTGATTTGGAAACATCGGTCTCACATTATAGCCTTCCATCTGGGAAAATCCACAACATCCGTGATTTCTGCCGTCAGCTGTTTGTATCTGTCCTGATTCCTCTGGCTCCATGGTATAAGATCCACAGGCTGTCGGCTCTCGTGCTAAATAACGTGTGTGCTCGTTAATTTGTCCAAATGTCACTTCTCTTCTTACTTCTAATAAACCAGAACACTACTCAGACTGTATATTATTACTATTATTATTATTAGTCCCTCTTCTTCTTTGTTCAATGTCGTGATGGAAGTCTACACTGCCAGAATTATACAAGCAGAAGAAAAACGGGGTGATGACGAAACGCGCTCTGTAGCGCTGTTTGTTCTTGTCGGCTATGGTAGAAACATGACGACAAAATATAGCGACCTCCTTAGAAAGGGGTGCCCGCGGTTATGTAAATAAAAATGGTTCATTCTAAGGTAATAAAAACATAATGGTTCATTATGTAAGGTCTTCATGCACCACTGAAAACATAGTTATAGATATTAGATTGCATTTCTGTCAATAGATCCTCAGAAATATTATACACGAAACCTTTAATGGAAACGATGTGCTGACTAAAAGAACATAAAATTACACATGCAAAATCAACATAGAGAAACTGTGATAAGCTCTGATTAAGTTTGAGTCTATCCATATTATGCAGATTCAAGGTAAGAAAACTCCACAGGTACTGCAGTTGTTTGACAGCATCTGTTGCAGCAAATAATGAGAAAGATGTGGAGTAACTGCAGGGAGTCAACTACAATCCTGGCGAAGACAGCAGCACATTAACATTTAGATTTATCATATAGAACCGTTAATCACTGTGTATGAAGGTTCAGTGCGTCTCTTAATTTCCCTAATGACAGGACGATTCGTGTTGCATGGCTCAATGTTCAGTACTTTATTGTGGGACGACCAAGACAACCTGGTACCTGCAGGGTTAACTTAAAGTAGTTATGTATCCATAAACTATATAATACATTGAACAGCTCTAACACGTATTTTAAATAATTTCACTTTCTCTCTTCGAAAATAGAGATTTTATAACATTGTTTTTAACTTGGGTTTTGTGGGTTTTTTTATGTTATCTGAGCACTCCTGTTGCTTGCCCTGCATGATGATAATTAATACAAGCAAAACTTTGAATTTTGGTCCACAGTGCAAGAAAGAAAGAAAAATGACTTCAAGGCAGAGAGGGCACACAGCATCTTTTCAGTGGCAGGGAGACCGCTGAGATACATTACCGGCATTATCAGCAGTTAATAAAAATAAACATCCCAGGCCGTTTAATTAAAATAAAGTGTGGAGGTTTAACAGCCATTTTTATATAGCTGCAGCCACGGTAAATTCTCATTTAGTAAGAGGTGAATGACACGACCGACTAATGAGCGATAAAGGGCCTATATCAGCCAGAAAAATGCAGCTTTGCTGGTCTTGCTCTAATTATGTAATTGAGAAATAGATAGATTTTCTACACTCTAAATTTTGATAGATTTTAGTTGTGTGGAGGTTGCTCTGTGGATAGTTAAACAAATGCCCCTTGAGTCTGCAAATCGATATTTCCCTCGGCTTAAAGTGTCAGAATGTCAGCACAACAAATTTGTGTCTGCAATGAAATCAACTGATGACTTGTGTGTTAAGTCAGATTTGTTATTCCATAAGTGACAAGTCCTTTAGTACCAATTTTCACTTGTTCTTTTACCCCTTCTACCCTTCAACAGAGTGCCCCTCTCATTTGAAATCTAAGTCAAAAGAAATATGGACAGTGTCATCACGAGCCAAAAATAAGGTCAGTTACACTTTACGCTTGTCTACCCTCTCTTTGCAGATGACTCTATTAGGGAGATGTGTGCTAAGAGTGTTATTATGCACACACACAACTTT